CATCCACCTTTATTCTTTTCTTTACAATAAGGCTTTCAAATAAGTCATGGCTGTACGGCAGTGAAGCATTGGTGTTGAGCACTGATGTCATGCTGTCGTTGATGATGATGATGATGACTACGAAGAATAGTTCGGCTGGTTTCCTTCAACATAACCACTGGAAGAACCCAACGGGCCTGAATGGAACATCGACACCAACCCGCAACCACTAAAAGAAATCCAGCGTGAAATATCATTCCTCCAACACGAAAAGGTACCTGACCAGGGTGGTCTAAATCCCGCACTCTTCGAAGGTGGCGAGCTCCTGATCTGTCACAAAGATACTGGACGTTACTATGGGATGACAGTTTGTGTACCTCAACGAACGATTGAGCTATTCTGAGGGAGATGTCCGCGCGACACTCACAGAGTCTCTCATACCAGGTTGGTCAATGGTTAGAGGTCTGATGAACACAGTCTCCTGGTCCTCCAGATTGGCATTTGGAACAGGTGTGGCGATGTGTTCCGTAAAAATGGTAATGTACTTGCATTTCCAGCCAAACATCACCGTTCTGCGAGGTGTAGGCGCCCTTTCAATATCCTAGCCCATGTAAAACCATGGATTGCCCATGCATAGATAAACTCATGACGTCGGCCGGGTCGCCTTACTTGCTGCCTGCAGCAGGGCGGGCAAGCGAAAACAAGTTACTGTCGATCCCTCCATTCTTCCTTCATCCTCTCCTTAACCCATTAATAACTCTCTCCTTGAAGGCCCAGAAGTTAAGATACATGACTCCGTTTGTCCTACAATTGCTTTGCAGGCAACATCTGCGCGTCATCCAGCACCAACACCCTCAGGCATCTTGAAATCAATCCTCAAGCCTCGACACTCAGTCTATCTGGTCGCATTCAGTGTCCGCACTCTGGAGCAAGCAGGACAGCAAACTGCTGCTGCTCTCACACTGGACTCGCTTCACATTGATGTGTGCTGTGTATCAGAAGCAAGAATTCAATATGCAGGCACAGTGATTGAGCAAGCTGCCCCATCACCTTCCACTCGCTTCCGGGTACACAACTCTGGTGATCCACAGGCTGCTGCGCAGGATCTTTGTTTGATTGGATACTCGCTGATAGTGGCCTGTGTGCGATCCGTCTGGTAACGTCTGCGAAGGAGCCTCACAAACGGGAAGTTGACTGATATCTGTTTGTTGTGTCTGCTTACGCCCCAACTAACCAGCTCTGACACCATCAAAGACACGTTTTATGACGCGCTGAATGTCTTAGTGCGGCGAGTCAAAACCTCAGATATCGCGGTAGCCCCCGGAAATCTAAACGACAGGCTCAGCGAATCTGATACTTAGTTAGGTGGTTGATATGGATTGCAATCAGTGCGCACGTACAGTGGTGAACAAGTGCTTCAGCTGTGCTGACCGCAGACTCTTTTTATTCAGTACTAACTTCCGAAAAGGCGGAAGTTGTCTGGCCACACGGAGTCCTCTAACGGCGTGCCGGTCATGAAGGTAAATCGATCATATTGCCATCATTTGCCGATGTCAGTCGTTTTGGAACATATTTATGGATTCTGATGAAGCGCTCGTCCAGATCCGCCTCTCCGTTCTTTTCCCAGGGCCAACTAAGGTGTGCAAAAGCCACCTGAGATATGGATGTTAGACGACATTACAAAAATTGTCTTCTAGAGTCTCTTCCAAACTGGGACGAGATTGCCACCATTTCATACGGTGCGAGGAGTCGTGTCTGTGCACGGCACTACCAAACGCATCCAAGCACTGGACATCGGGCCGAACAGTGGCACCGCTTATTTCTCAGAGGAATACCGCAGTCGCTCCAGAAAATAAATTGACGTGACGAATTATCAAACATAGAGTGACAGTCAGCATGCCAGCCGACCGTGAAGTCTGGTGAACACGGGAAGCCAGGGAAATGGAAGAGGCCCGGAAACCCGGGAATGCCCGAAGATTAGTTCAGTTCATCCGGGCGACCTGTCCTTAGAAACTGTCTGCGAGGGAAACCATCAGGAAAAGGAGACAATCTTGGGTAAAAAACCCTCGACCGTTGGGCCGAATACCTCGAACAGCAATTGTCGTGGCCAACACCTGCCACTCGTCTAGAACCCACAGTTGATGTAGAACCCGAAACGATGAACGTGGAACTCCATACGTCCTCCGAGGTTTATTCGATACAATTTTTCTATTTATCAGCTGCAAACTGTGTACCGTAAGCACAGTAGTTCCAGCTGCTACAGTTATAATCACCGGAAACAAGGGAAATTGTGGGACATACAACCGAGCGTTGGAGGCGGTGGCACGTCAGGATAGCTATGCATTGAAGGCGGTAGATTTGATGCACGAGCGCCACTGACTGTGCGATTGTACCACTTCTGCTAGTGTCATTAACCATTGGTGAGTTGAGTCCTGGGGTCCCCATCCAGGGAGGCGTTAGGTACTTTGTCGCCAGGTCACCTGTCCATCTCTCGCTCTCTTCCACTCAACATATGGCAGGGCGAAAAGAGCTCTGTGAATCAGACGATCTTCTGGCAACTAGAGTACATGTCCTAACCAGTATAATCTATGAAATGTGAGTAATTCGTCTATCGCGGGAGTTCCTTCTTTCTAAGACCATTTGGAACTCCTCAGCATTACTAATCCGATATTTCCACCGGACCCGACCAGTGCTTTGGAGACACCGATGGTCAAACGTAACATCTGCTCGTACAGGCCACGTCTCTGATTCGTAAGGCAGTGCGGATCACACCGCTACAGTGCGAACGATGCCTTTGACAGACAAACCGACTTCACGTCGGCGCGTGGCAAAAGCTGACTTGGCATTCCCGATTCGTGAAATAATATCATCTCCAGCCAGTCCACCGGAACCGATAGAGCCACCTAGATGAACAAATCTATCACGTCGATTGACTCACCTGCTAGCATGAGACGTGGGTTCGATCCAACCCAGCATTGTAGCAGCACTTTAAACTACAGGTGCGAAGCACATGCCAGAGTTATTTAGGTTATTTAAAATTGTCTACATTTGGAAGGGATCTGAACCAAGGAGAACAATATCGTCTGCATACTCAATGTCTGTAAGGTAACGTCCCAGGAGCATTTCGACTCCAGAGGTTTCAAAGGCAGGCAGAGGAATTTCAAGCAGCATCAACATGGTTGAAGAGTAAAGGCTAGAGAGGACAGCTTTGTATTACACACCCAAAAGTGAACTCGGGCGAAAGATTTTCGCTTAAGCGCCCACAGGAGTTCACATAACAGAAACAGGGTAGATAAATGAAAGCCAACTAAAGCATGATCGTAAACCATTGATGGTTTGATAAGGTGACTCATATATCCAACATCACGCGCCAAACAGAAGTGAGCTATTTGGAATTCGCTCAGCTGTAGTACAAGTTCGGTGCGTGACCGCCACGCTACACGAGGGAAGCACGAAGACTGGGATACTGCAAGGCCCAGACAGGGGAAGTCGAGATGCAGAGGTCGGGTTCAAACCACGGGCCTTCCGGTCAGTAAATTCGCATTGTAACCAATGAATTAAGCCGGTGTCCACTAATAATTCCCAGCGGTGGAAGTTGCCTGGCTAGCCCGGCTGCAGATACAGGCAAAAAATATGGCTAAGCCATTGACACTTATGCTGTTAGGCTAAACCTTCGAACGAAACGGGACTGGCTTATGTCAAGTCCGTATAACGCTTGTGATTCCGTAGTTTGATCAACCATGTGTAATTCTTGGATGGCTGTCAACTTAATTACGTGTAAATGGACCAGAATTAATGGTAATTAAGCAAGAGTAGTCTTGCTATACTTCGTTAGGTGAAAACATGAAGGGTGGATCATAAAGTCAACAATCCCACGAGAAACAAAACGCAAACAGTTGAGTAAAAATATATCAAAGGGGTCAACCCAAGTTAAGAAAGGTTTATTGTGTGGGAATTTGGAGGATACAGTCCCATAGTTTTGGGTATGGAACAAGTTTTGAAGCTTAGAATTCATGATCCCGTTAAATTTAGCTTCAGAGGAATTGTGAATATCAAAGTCCTCTATCCCGCCTCTAATTAGTCACTTGTACGACGAACAATTTTATAACAAACTGTTTTGGTTGCATTTTGATAGATGCAGAACCTATCTGAGTCATTCCTTGGGAGAGGTTCAAAACTAAAAGTAATATGTAGAGGCCTCTACAGTTGCAAGATATCATTGATCGGACAGCACCCATGAACAACCGTGTGACCATTCTTTAAAACTTATCTTTAAGGGAGGTCAAGTATGGGATGCTAAATAGGTGGCGGGAGGCTTAGATATTTGATCATCAAACGAAAAACAAGATCAAGATGGATCAAAGATCACAAGGGACGGTGCAATCTGTATGCAAAGATGGGATAAAATGGAGAATGATGAACCGAGACGAGTGGGTAGACCGCAGAATATGAACTCACCCGATAACACCAGCATAGATAGGGCAACACCAAACAGTAACCCGAGCAGCAGTCCAACTAGCCGCAGCAAACGGTTAAATGTTTCCGGGAGCATTTTACCCTTCAGAAAATCGTAGAAGGCCACAAGCTGACAAATGCCAAACACTCCGAGAGCCTAGCCAGTGTAAGAAAAAACTGACCAACTCACCCCCATATGTTCACTGGAGATCACAGGGAGAAATCCGACGAAGCTAATTTGCATGGACAAGATAGTACCGAGTGTGTACAGCTAGAATGGATCATCACTTGGAAACAGGCGCACTCACTGTGGAATATGCCACATAAATGCGATGTGAGAAGCGGCCAGTAAGTATAAGAATCAGCACGTGTATGGGTATAATGTTGATGAGGAAAACGTAACCACCCCAGGAGGAGACCATATAAAAGTAGGCCAAACTGCAAGCGCTTGCCCAAATGACGGAACCCGTTTTGACAGATTTCACCCACAAGTAGAAGGTGAAGATCATGCAAAAGATTGCAATTCCTTCATTGTCATATGAACCGGCCACAGAGCGGCTTATATAGCCGGGCACAATGGCGATCATTCCCGCGGCCAAAAGACCGGCTCGTGTGTCCATTACCTCACTCGTTAGCAAGAATGTCGCAATCGTTGTGAGACTTCAACAGAAGTAAGTAATTGTTTCACATACCTGGAGAAGAGTGGAGCGAGAAAAACGCAAATGTTCCGTATGTCCACCGTGACATGCAGAGCCCTCAGGGTATTGTACAACAACGAGGATGTCACCATCAAACCTTAGGAAAAATAATCTACATCAACCGAAGAGTACCAGGATAGATAGTGCCCCCGATGATCCGTCCGAGTGGGTACCAAGCCATCTCATCGAACCAATCATGAAAACTGTAGAAACCTTCTTTAGTCATATAACGGGTTGTACGGTAATTAAAATACGGATCGAACTCGTGAATGACGGATTCATATCTGATTACCGCGAAAAGGCGAATGCAAAAAGCTGACACTTTGGACCACGTACGCAAGACATTCACCTACCAATAACAGCCGACAGAACGAGTACACCCAGCTGAATTAAAATAAGCTGCTTCTCAACCCCAAAACTTGAGAACCACTTCGACAGGCGCATTCCACCCGGGACACGACAATAACAAAATAACTCTGACCTTTTCGAGCTTTGCGCGCTGCGGAACGTCAGCGCATCAGCGCAACTGGGAAAATTTGTAAAGGATTCACGGATTCCACGGATTCACGGATTCCACGGATTCACGGATTGGTACTCGGGATCGAGGCTTTTGTCCAATTTTTCCGGGTCGGTTTTGTTCTTGTCGTTCAGCAGCTGTTGTTCGTCTGAAATGAATACATGGAGAAAGGCTGTAGCACTGCTCTTCATGTGTTCGGCCCGGGGCAATATGCTCGCCAGCGCGAGTACTCGCATAAATAAGTGTTTCGTGATTCTTTGAATTGGGTGCTAGGAGGAGCGTGGAAAACCGTCGAAAGAAGGTTATTCCACGCAGCTACTACCAGAAATGAGAAAATTTTTTGCCTGATGAATGTGTGCGCTCTGAGCTTGAAAATCTTCTTACCATGTTCCCGCCGTGTTTGTTGGGTCAATGGTTGAAGACCTGTCAGCCTAGCTTTGCTCAGAGAAGTTATGAGAAACAATTAGTTCCCCTCTGAAGCGACGATGCTCCAGGGGAAGAGATCGAGCACCGCGAGACGCGTTTCTTAGTCCACGGATTTGAGGCTGACAACCATTTTCGCAGTGGCTCGCTGGACACACTCAGTGGAGATGACGCCTCTCGTGCGTCCTGAGCAGACGACTTGGTTGGATTATTCAAGGAGCGGTCTGACGAAGGCTCCGTGGAGTATTTGGAGGTCCATGCGAGTGATACGGGAGAATGAGCGCCGAATCCACCGTAAGACGTCGGGTGTCTTATGGGCCCGTTTCTCATGGTGCATTGACAAGGACAATTTCGACGAGAGCCAGGTGCCCAAATCCTTTCTAAGGTCTATCATTATGTTTTCTGACCATCTGTCACCATGCATGACAAAGGCATTCGTTGAGTCTCCTCTAAATGGCATATGGATGCATTTTCGTCATTCAGAGGAAGGTGCCAGTCTAACTACCGCTAGTTTGCAGCGTCTACATCCATTTGGAGAGCACTGGTATTGGATCTCTAGGATTTCAAGTCGTCCGCAACATGTAGACATGGACTTGCAAGAATAGCCGGGAGACCGTTGACGTATATCAGAAACATTAGTGGTCCCAAAACGAAGCCTTGAGGAACTCCAATGGAAACCGGCGCTGAAGAAGAGTAGGTAGAGCCTACCTACACACGGAATGATGTGTCTGATAGAAACCCTTGATCCAGTGTAGGAATTTTTTCCTTACTCCCGTAAGGCTCGAGTTTGTGGAGCAGCGGGACGTATGGGACCCTATCAAATGGTTCTGAGAAGTCGAAAAATATGGCATTCGATATGAGTCGTTAGTCCTTGGCTCGGGTGAAGCTTTCCAGAAACACGACATGTTTGTCACGCAAGAACGGTTTGGGAGAAATCCGTGTTGAGCTAGAGATTTCAGATTGCTGGAAGTAAGGTGCTCTGAGATAGATCGCTTCAGAATGCGTTCCATCACCTTGCATGGTTTATAGGGCTGTAGCTGCCAGGCGATATTCGGTCATGAGTCTTGTAGACTGGCCTGACATTCGCTTTTTTCCAAGCAGAGTGAAGGCTGCCTTCGTCAAACCATTGACGAAACACCAGGTAGAAATCATTTGCCAATGTAGACGACGTTTCCCCCAAGTTCCTTGGATGGACCTCGTCGGGCCCCAACGTGCGCAATGGGTTGATCTTGTGCAAGAGTTGACGAATGTCAAAAGTTCGATTGAGGAATTGGTCATCTTCTGGGGGACTAAGGAGGCAGCGGTGGATTACACCGAGAATGAGAAAATCGGACACGCGCAGCGGGATTTCGACCCAAAGTGCACCGCACATAGTTGCGGAAGGCAAAAGGTTCAGGAGACAAAAAGGTGCAGGGCACCAAGTTTTTCACCCTCCGCCTACGGGTACAGAGGAGCTATGTATCCCTGGCTAAGCCACAGTAGGGTGGTTACACTATCCTGCAGATGCACACGCTTTGAACAATGATGGTCTAAGGTCATAGAAGCCAAGGCCGCAACTTATCAATTCTGCAGACAGATAAGCATGATCGAGGTAAACGCACTCTCCCACGCGCGGACGATGCGACCGACGTGTCCTTTTACATTCGCTCGAGAGCCCGGTCATTGGCTGGTCAAGTTTCTTTAGGAGGAATGTTGCAAAATATTTTTCGCCCTTCCATCAGGTTTATACGACTCCCACTGAAAAACATCGGCTAGACTCCAGACTCTCATGAGGACGCCACTTACGTGGCTGGTCCCAGGATCTTTTGTCGCCTAACTTGATGAAAATTGTCACGGCCGAAAGATCGATTAACACAACGGTTAGCTACTAGGAGTCCTCGGGTTGTCTCTAGCCGACCCATCATCATCCGAGCAAGAAGTTACACTGTAAAAGGTCGTGTTGGTCATGTTCGTCCTTCTAAGTTTTGAAAGGACTCTGATGAAATCACACACATCGTCGGCTGGTCCGCCTGACGAACTTTTGTGGCTTGCATAGCTTCCTTGCCATTGCCCTATACTACAGAAGGTTCATTAAAGAGCTTTTGGTATCACTGCGCCACTCCGCATGGTTTCCCACAATGGAAAACTTTTTGTGGCCTGTTGAATGTAATGTTTTTAGCTAAATCGGGCGTGCACTGAAATTTCTACCTTTTATGCTATATCAGGATTTTTTACCCGGGACATCCGGGTTCAACTTGGGCATAATCACCATTAAAATGGTGACTCACGGCCACTTGTTTCATCGAGTCACCGATTCGAAAGTTGTCCACACACATAACATTTGCATTTAGACTGGTGTACCTCCTATATCATATTTAGCCTCACTTTCTTGGCCGATACTTCTCCATCAGAATGGACCTCCAGTCACAGAGATCGCAGAGGTTTCGCTGTTCTTGTGGGCAAGTTATCCTCTGAAACTAGGCACCCAGAGTTTGGCGGCATTTCCTCAGTCTCACCAAAGGAATTAGAGCTTGTTAAATCGCTAACTGTGTACGCACCCACGAAATCAAAGCCGGGGACGTGAATATCGGGCGGGTTTGTTCCCTTCAGATGTAGTGCATATAAATCTTTTGGATGTCTGGTGAGTTTTGGGATGAGTTTGCTGTCTGGATATGCAGTGCTGTAAATTCGATTGGGAGCGCTTCACCTTGGATAAACGGGATCACTGATCTTGTTTGCCAGACAATTGGGCGAGTTATAACCTTGCCGCACCATTATCTAAGGCTAGAAGAAGGAACTCCTTCTTCGAAGATTTTCTGACAAAATTGCTGTAAGCCTGCGCTAGGGAGGTGGGATAACGCCGACATGATTGCATCGGTGGTAGCCTCTAACACGCTTTCATGCAGTGAGGTACCGGTCATTTTGTGTTCCGATCGAGACACAGCTTTCAAGACTCATTTATTTCATATAAGGGGGCTCCCGTTACGGTCCACAAAACCAGATGGACAACGCGTTACTCGTAAGCAAATGAGCGAAGGAACACAATGGCAGGCCTGTAAAACGATGTTAGCTAACTTTGTAAACCATTATGATGGACATTTGGGCAAGCTTATCATTTTGTGCGTGTTGAAAGATTGTGATAGCCTCAGCCAGCGGCTAGACGCACAATGTATTTTTCTGCAAAACGCCTGCGGACGAAATAAAAACTTTAACGTCAAAAGAAAGGTTGTGCCTCACACGTTTCAAACAGCGGTTCAACAAGTTGAACGTGATCTAACCTCCCCCTCAGGAGTGGGTATAGCCGTGGTCCATGCTGGTGGGATCGGCACGAACGAGCATGAAAAATAACTTCCGAAACGCTCTTTGTGACGACATGCCGATTTATCTGCCCACCCAATGCATGAATATCTCTCATCACATGGCTGTTCTATCTAGCGACCTGTTACAAGCCACGGGCAACGAAAAATAGCTTGGCCGTACGTCACCTCGCGTTATTCTGATGAACATGACTGATACTCTATTCGTTGCTCTATTCATTATTCTCTTGTTTTAATATTCCATATGCTGTACATATTCGCCAATTCAAATACATACGTGCTGGTTGTTACGCTTTGCTGAAATCTGGATTTCTATTTCGTCTGTTTATACCGACATACGTGCAAAACTCAATTCTCACATTTTGTCGTCGCGGACAGGATCGATCCATCATGCCTGCCGAAATGGAACCATTAGATCTTAATTCAACTGCGCGTGAAGTAGAGGATTATTTGGAACGGTTCGACATATGGTGCCTCACAAAATCCGATATGGATGACAAGAAACTCACTGCATATTTCCCACATTTCGTTGGCAAGGAGGCGTATACTTTGATCAAAAATTTAGTATATCCTGAATCTTCAATCGATATTTCCTACACTGCATTGAAGAAAAAAGTTCTTCAACACTTCAAGCCGATTAACTTTGTAGCAGCCGGTAGAGCTAGGTTCAATATGTTGACCCGCTCCCATTCTCATTCGGTTCGTGATTTCGTGTTACAGCTGCAAACACAGGCAGCCAAATGTGACTATGGTGCCCAATTGGAAGACCAGCTGCGTGATAGACTCTTTGGTGGCATTCAGCTGCCCGAATTACAGCAGAAGCTGATACTCTGTCCGGATGAGAAATTTCAAACTATTCGAAAAACATGTGAGCAGTATAAAGATGTGAAGCAAGTGACGAAGACTGAGGAAGCAATCTTGTTAAATTATTCTAAAAGAAATAACTCAAGGATGCAGACGAACAACAACTTCAAACCTCGAACAGATTTTCGTGCCCCAAATCCATCAACACGTTACTTCACAGATCGTAACCCTAGTCCGATGGCTCGAAAATTTGGGAAATGCGAGTCTTGTGGACGAAACCATTCCAGATATTCATGCCCCCACAGACGAGCGAAGTGTTTTATCTGCGGTAAAACGGGACACATTCAACTTGTCTGTAAGTCCAAGAAAGTGTGTCACTTAACTTCTGACCCAAATACTAACGT